GATTCCTATTGCGTGGTTGGTGTTCCGAATTCCGTGCGTATTACTACTACTACTTCTACAGCTATTACATGATGTCAACAAACAAACTGGATTGGGTATGATTTGGAGTATGTGGACACTAAATATTGGGACACGTAAGGCTCTAAGGACTCTGGGTCCTGCTTAGAGTGGACTTAACGCACCAGTGTTTTATCTAAATAGTCCCACAGAGCACATTTCAAACAAAACAACAGAGTGGTAAACAAGATCGTTTCCAGTTATTCCTATTCTTACCAATTGATCACCATATATATATACGCTTGGGAATAAAATAGTTTAGGAAAAATGGAATAAAGTAAAATCAGTTCATAGATTGGTAGAAACTATTTCACCATGAGACCGGAAATCGGATTCGCCACGAACACTTAGTTATTCGTGCAAGCATCCGATCATCGAGATTACTCATGAAACGGTGTGGGTTGTGTGTGGGGGGGGGGAGGGTGGAGAGTGTCAGAGACACTTCAGAGCTTGCATGAATTGCCTCTAAGGGCACCGAAGGGGCATGTAAAAGAAACCTCCCAGCTTCTGTTGTGAAAAGCATCCGGCAGCGAACCAGCCTCGGTAATCACCCATGAACTTAATGCGGAGGACGAAAAGCCTCGGCCAGGTTCAGTGTTATTTGTTTCGGTTAGGGGGAAAAACTGCACTGGTGAGTGGATTAATCGTTCTCGTGTTCAGTTGCACAGAGTGGTGTGCACGAATCCTTTTGAATAATCGTCGGACCGCCTGACGTATGTAAGTTGTTCCACAGAAACAGGTAAATGAGCATACACAGAATGTGAACGTAGAGTCGGGAACTTCGACCTTCAATCGCAAACACGCAGTTAGCTCGGAAATGAACAATACACGAAGCTTGGATGCATAGAAAGTCTTGTCGATTGCATCGAATAAGCTTCTTAGTATGATCTAAGCTGATGTGTCCCCCTTGAGCGACAGACCTTTCTTAACCTAGGTGTTTGTTGACTATACATTCCGGATACTCGTTACGTGCAAAGCTTGATCTTGTTATACACAGCTTTTTTTCTAGTGTATCCTTTCTGCAGATCTTTCTGGCCCTACTCACCAGGCAACAAACCATATCCCTGTTTACCTGAGGCGGTCAAAAGCTTTCAAATTGAATGTATTGGTCTCTCTAAGTTGCCTTTCTACACATCGAACACTGCCCCAAGCCATCTATCTGATCGACGGGTGATTCAGTCATATAGAAACGGCAATTTGCTGTTACACTCCATCTCCAAAGTTAATGTTGTGTTGGGATGCGCACTGTTGAACTGTTTAATAGTTCCGTTGCGTTCTATGTGGCATTGATTACACAGTAAATAGAAATTGGTAAACAACTAGATAACGTCCAGCAAGAGCATTGGTTGATCGACCAAGTTTACGTTGCGATTTTGCTCAGAAAAGTAAGTGCATCTTTGACATTGTATTTTGCCAGTGGGTTTGAACTGCTGAATGCAATCCGGAATTGTTAGTTCTTTTTCGATCTCATATGTTGGAGACCAATCATTTCCACCTGCACTAAAATAAATCTGAAAAAATTGATTTTCCTGCCGTGTTACGTACAACCCTCTCTCCGGTATACCCGATCAAATAGACTGAATGAAAATGAACATGAGTTACTGTAAAACGGTTGAGTAAAAGGATGTATGTTGTACAGTACGTTTCATAATGGCCAATGTTGTTTCTGTGTCTTCCCCATCGCCTGATTGTATTTTAATTTGAAAGCTTTGATTTTCTCAGTGTCCCAACTAATAGGCCTTTAATTAACATCTTATCTTTTATCTTTCAATATTTTCATTTCACTTCCTTTTATTGAATATGCAAAGATATAACTTTCAGGAAGGGGGAATCAGCCAATGAAAGAGCTGCCACTTAGCACACATATGGGAAAAGTTAGGCGGTGATGGTGGGATTCGAACTCACCTTCCCGGGGTGGTAGTTTGGTGATGCTACCACCCGGCCACTACCACCCTCAAACAAAACGATCTGTTATTCGTAATTCAATTCTTTCCTCTCATTCCACAATACTCTTTGTCTGTTGCAGAATAGAAGAGTTGTTCCCGTTTGACAAAAATTCTTCAGCTCATCTTATTCTGAAAAAACACATTTTAGATAATCTACTACGGTCTGATCAGTCAATCTACGGGAGAGAACTGGGAACTGGGCAAGTTGACATTGTCCACGGCCCAACCGAACGAAGGTGGCGGTGTTCCGGAGCTCACACTGGAACGATTGGCTCTGAAGGAAATCAAAAGGTATGTTTATGTATAAATAGTCACGTCTAGTCAGTTGTTTTAAAAATGCATAATGTGAATACTGGAAATTATGGCTGATCTGAATCAAACAGAGTGGGGGAAAAGAGGTTGTCTTCTATCTGTCTATCTATCTATCTATCTATCTATCTATCTATCTATCTATCTACACTAAATCACTCTGTGTTTAACTGGCACACAGCTTTATCAGTTGAATTGATCCGGCCAACTGTGTCCGAGTAAATGCACAATACGTACTCTTTGGATTACGACACGATCACACTCTAATACACTTGGTTCGAATGAAATCAGAATAGAAGACGAGTCATTTCACAATATTTATCATTCCATAACACCGAAAACCTGATAAGGGTAAAGAAAACTGACGGCGATGGAGAGAATAAGATCGATGCGGTCAACAAACATTTGGCCTAACAGAACACCACAGTGCGCTGGTCCGATAGACGAGACAAGCTGCTTCATTTCAGTAGTTCATCAACCAGTCATTTACAGTGATTATACGAGCACAGTTTTCGAAATTGTTTGGTCCCGTTTGAGGTGAATCTTATCACACTGCATTAAAAGGGATCTCACAAGCGTGAACACGACTTGAATGTGTTTTGACCTGGTCACGACCTTGTTCCAGTTACCACGCTCCAACCGGGTGGTCGCTGGATACATATCCTGGTAGATGCAAAGCAAAAAACAAAATAATTATTGTTTCACGGCGAGGGTTGAGGATCTAAACAGGTGAATTCTGATTGCTTCGGTCATACAGAGCAGGACAACGTGTAGTGAGTTACATGATAACGGGGAAATACGATTCCAAACTTTTGACTTGCATCCACTTGATGAATCGTTTCGGGTAGGTAGGGGCCCAATAGAATAGACTGAGGAACCATTGACAGGATGCCTGAAATTTGTGGCAGAAGGAAACCAAACATCAACCAATAAATCCGTATAGCTGAAACATACTACGCCTCCAAGGAGTCCCCAAGCTCTATTAGCTTAATCTACGGATGGGCCACTATTGGATATATCATGGTACAGCAAAATGGCTCACTCAGCTGCCGTGATCGGATCAGAAGGAAGATTGCAGACTTTAAATCTGAGAGATATTCCACTTTCTCAATCGTATATCAGACTTCAACATTTCCTCCCAGTTTATACATCCTTGGACGTTCCCTCTGTATTTAAGAACGTTAATGTAACAATTAAATATTTGTACACCAATGTAAAAGTTATTCTTTTGTCCTTCGGATACAAATGAATAATTTTAAGGGATTATTACTTCGATACACATTTAATGTGTTGTGCACCGGAAACAATCATGAGTACAACGATTGGTACCCCGTGATTTCCACTTTTGGTCCAACTACTCATGTGCACGTTCGTGAACACCAGGTTCTGACTGGTCATCAAAATTTAGAAATTTACTGCAGATACTTCAGCAGTTATATTATTCCTTGCCAATAAATACGTTGACTTGGACAAAATGCAAAAATATTTATTAGTTTCCGTCAATGAATCAATCGGTTTCACGAATGAATGCATACCGTTTGTAGTTCCTGTTGTTGTTGTTGTTGTTCACAGGAGTCTGGACTAATTTATCTACCAGAACGCTACCAGGAAATCAACTTTAAAGGGAAAATACATTCATTTTAAAGCCAAGCAATATAGCGAACAAGCTTGTTTTCGTAACTTCGTCTTCAGGCATCTGTAGTTACGTGTGTGTTCATATCCAATGTGGAAATAAATGCGATTGGACCATTGAGGTTAGATATGAAAATACAACAAGTTTAACTAGAGCGAGTGGAAAAAATGGTGACAGTGGGCGAAGGCGGGACCAAGGTCAATTCTGGAATTTTCCGATGCTCTTTTTCAAGAGCAATTTGTCACGCCATGTTACGTCATCGCGACATGACTGGAGTTATGTTTCGGGTCATCACGTGGGTTTGGTTGGGGCCATGGCAACTGGATTGCAGCAACCATCTTCTTCGGTCTGCACAGTGGTAGGTTCATGATTTCAATTGTTGTAGCTTCCGCCGTTCCCAAGTGGCGTTTCCGAACGTGCTTCGATTTGTTTTCGGGTACTTTGTAGATGACTTTGAATGCATCGTTGTCTGGCTGATGCCCGGTATGAGCTGGGTTGGCCATAATAGCACTAGTTATTGTTTATTTGCAGTCCGTTCTAAGCCAAGCCGGTTTTTGTTCTCTGATCCTTGGGGAGAACTGTCTCATCGTTCGTCCTGCATAACTTGCCGAACATGTACATGTGAAGGAATACGTAATCATAGATGTGGAGAGGATGGACAGCTTATCCTTGAGGTTTGTGCAGAGCTGAGGCCGGCTTGTAAACATCAAACGTAGAATGGCGGCTGGATATGTTTGTGTAAAAGCTTCCTCCAGATGTCTTTTTAGTGGATCACCACTTGAATCGTCTTTAAACAGAAGATTCAAGAATAGTTCTTTCCTTTCTACGAGGTTCTTTTCGATGAACCTGTGGTGATTGCTCATAAACTATGAACTCTTTTGTTTTATTGAACACGATATCCTTGTATATTTCTAATTTCCGCCTATAACAATTCCACTCCGCCTCTGAGTTGACTTCTGATTTCGTTTCGAGTCCTAGTTCTGGGTCGTACCACTAGTGTACGGAATCCGATACGTATACGAAATACTAGCCTGAGTACGAACCACAACAAACCGCTCCGGGTATCCGTTATTCACGAGTGTAGGTTTGATGAATCTAAGTTCTTCCTCCACTAGATCCTTGAAGCAAATCCTTTGAGTTCTGAAGGACAGACATTGAACTAAGTTTCGTTTAAATTTGATTGAGAGGAAACTTTCAAAATTGATATGTTGGCTGCTCCATGTTGGCTTTCGAAAAACTGAACGGTTTAAATTTCTACTGGGCTTCTTCTTCAGGTTAATGTCGAGCAAGTGAAATATATCCTGATTTTCTGTTTCCATTGTAAAATTGATTGATGGATGAGCTCGGTTAAAACGGTCCAATATTATGTTCCGTAAAATACTTTTGTCGGAAAGGATAAAAATGTCGTCGACATAATGGCAGTATACATGGAGTTGATGAATGACGTCTAGTAGTTCGTTGTTTTCCAGTTGGGCTACGAAGCCATCTGCAGGGAGCGGGTAAAGTGGGGAACCCATGACTACACCGTCCGTCTATCTGTCGATTGTCCCATTAAAAGAAAATTGGATATTCTATGTAAATCGCAATAATAGTTCCTTGAAATTTGTAGTTGGAATTCCAATTTGTATGTTTTCCTCATCAATGTACTGGCAAAGGTAAGACACTGTCTGAAATAGTGGCACATTTGTAAAAAGGGATTGTATGTCCAATGAGCTCATTGTCAAATCTTTAACATCCAGGTCCCGAACTAGGTCGACAAATTCGAAAGTATATTTCAGGCTGTTTGCAGTTTTTCTTCCTGATCGTTTCCAGGATTTTTACTAGCCATCAAGCAGTTGAGCGAAAAGGAGAGTTTCGCATATCTAGCGCCGGTCGTAATGGCGTTCCAGCTTTGTGAACGTTCGGTAAGCTATATAGTCTAGGGATATGAGTCCCAATTGTTTTAGTTCTCCGTAATAAAATCTCCATATGCATTTCTGATCTTTCAGCGTTTTTAGACATTTGATCATTTGTCCTTCCGCTGCTGTTGACATATCTTTCCATTTTTCGGCCTTCTTGAACTTGTTACCGTCGTTTAGAATTGTCATCATTTTGACTATGGAAACTTTACGATCCAATAGTACCACTTCCTCACCTCTGTCGGGTTTCTATATTATGATTTCCGTATTATGTTTCAGCTCACGAATTACTTTGACATGTTTTGACTGAGTTGACTTCCACGTGGTACTTTCGTGCAACGATATTAGAAACGGGCATCAAAAAGGGTAGATTTGAAAGCATCGACTGCTTTCTGTGTTATTGCAGTTAAATCATTTTCATAGTTCCCCATTGTCAAACAAAACTGCAATTTGGTAGAATACCTGACGGGAAGAGCACAAAACTTCTGCATGCCGGACACCGTAATCGATGAAATGAAGAAATAATGGGTATGTTATGAGAGAATGGTGATCCTGCTTTCTTCATTCTAGATGACCAGTTGATGAACTAATAAGAAACAGCTTGTTTTGCTTATCGAACTTTGTTCTGAATGTCACAATGTACATTTCCCATAAACTGGAATTCATTCATTTCCAGAGGTTTAGTAACTCCTTCATAAACCCAAAATTTGAAGCAGAAAATGGTTGACCGGTTCGGCGTAGTGAAGATTAACGGTTTCGACATTAGTGGGCCAAATGGCGCCGTTCAGAGAAATACTTCATAAAACCACTCATGCGAAAATGACATTACCACCCATTTAGCCGAGGAAGCAGCTAGGATTGAAAGGAACGGCTTAATTGAGATCAGCGAATGATCTGTCTTTGTGTCAGTTAGTTACAGTTGTTGGAAGATAGACCGGCCACCGGTTAGCCACATCATTGCAAGTTTGAGAATTACGCCGAATCACGGTCTGAGGTTACCTATCCTCATCTTTCGGTCGTCAGTGGCTGTTACGAAGCGAAACACGCGGAGAATTTCTCAAAACCATTCTCCTTTTACTCACTTATTCTTCATAACCGTGTCAGATTTCGATTTTATGGTGAAATTCTTCGTATGTAGAGCAAACGAAGCGTGAACTTAATAGACAAGAAGCACTGTGAGGTTGCTTTGACCTCGTAAGTTCGAAATTATAACAACGAAAAACAAGTTGGTATTCCGTTATTCCACGCCATGTTGTAGTCCTGTCATGTCTTGATTAATGAACTTCTGAAAATTTTTCCCACAAACCGATACATCAGAGCTGACACAAATGGTTATCCGTGCTATGGACGTGTTTTAATTTGTGACTGACAAGTGTTTGTAATGAGATAAATTAATTGCAACTTCTATTCGCTTGCACATAGTTCTCGGGACAGCACTCGACGTCGCGGTCCGATAGATCGTTCCAGGCGTAATATGAAAGCACGATCTTTCCACGCGGACGATGGATACTCTGACAGACTGCCCACAATTGACGAATCAGAGCGATGTCGCATAGATGAACCGTTGACAACAAGTCTCCGTGGTACACTGCTCCACTCCATGCCGTATTCGTACGATCCGGATCCCAGTTTTTGCTTCACCAGGGAAAGCAAAGAATGGCCGATTTCAACCCCGGTTCGAACAAGACAACCTATAGGCTTCAGAAATGTAAGCTGAGAACAGCGTGAATCGAATGAATGGCACAAATATGATGATAATTTCTGAGGTTATCGTCCGAACCGTTAGTCAACCGGCTTCTTGACTGATAAATACAGACAAAATAAGGGGACAGATGATTCCAATTTTAGCCAAAGTTACTGTGATCTGAGAGCACTTAAGCTCCCAAAATGAAGAAATGCATTGAATTGTGTGACACTGATACTCTATCCATTATTGTGTGGTGCTTCAGGAGCACTGAAAAACTTTTTTCTTGGTCTACTTTAACTACTCATTAGTGAAAAAGTAACAAATTCGTTTACATTGGGTTGACGTTACCGAAGGCTATTTGCAGACCGCACCGATAACTCACGTGACAGAAATAGTAATTTGGAATAATTTTTCTCCTCAGCCGGACTTAAAAACAACCATTATTCTCAGAAATTTCTATCGGATTCAAACAGTAGCATTTATTGAGAAGCATACATAATATGTCCCACATTTGTTCAGGTACACCGAGGGATACGTGCGAGTATAGGAAACAGTAATGCTCGGGGTTCTATTCCCCTTCAAAGATTTAGCCTAACTTGATTCTCCACCTTCACCTTCATTCCGCTCCCAACTTTCAATTTCTTACCTCTACTTTTTCATCGGATTGTACAGCTAAAAGACAGCTACTGATATCAGGGATACTTGAGGTGGAAGTGAACTGAATCTAACATGCGTTTTATTCGGAAGAGTGAAGCAGCCTGGAGCAAGAAGGTCGAACAATATGCTGAACGAAGAAAGGAACTTAACTTATAACATCAGTGGCATAGATTGTACAACAGACTTTGAATGTCCATATGAAATGCAATTAGATGAGTGTATGATGTGTTGTGTAATCAAAGGTCAACTGAAGGACGACTGGGAAGTGCAATACTCAGTAAAAAGTCGGTTGTCCACTGTTTCTGTGTAAAACGTGACGAGCTCAGTCTTCGAATAGCCACGAATTTCGCAAAGTGCTGAAGTTTGTCTGATTTATGGTCGAATATTATCGTGAAAGGGCTACTGGAGTCCACTTGCTGTCCCCAAAGGCGGTAAAGGAGGTTCTAGTACATTCAGAAGGTATGCCTTTAGGGCATTTACCCTCTAAATTAGATACAAAGATGCCACACAATCCAGTTTACATGCCTGCATTCATCCGTAAAATGAAAGTTGAGCACAAGAATCCGGTTCAAAGAGGGTGGAATCGAAATCTTTCTCGCAGTTAATGCTGTTTGGGTGATAAAGGTCAATTTGACCGTATAGTGAGTTTCCTCTGTTAATCTTAACCTTTTTTCTTCCAATGACGTTTGAAATATCATCTCCATCTAAACTTCGGAACTTTGGGCTTGAAATAATTTTAATTGAAAATTTTGGATACCTCATGTCCTGGAAGCACAGCATGTAAATATTTTAGCTCTCCCATCTAGCATCTATATCGCGCATACAAGTGAACTTCAAAAGCTCGTTTTTGTATGCTCAATCTCTCAATGGAAACGGCTCCATTAGGCAAACAACAACGTCAGAATATGCTGTTTTAATATATATGCTGAACAAAGTCCTGACTAATGCGCTTCTAAAGGTGTTGAAGCAAAGCTTTGTGTGAAGATATTATTCTGATCATGTATTGTTGGAATAAACTCTCCTCGATAGTGTGCCATATGAATATTATTCGATGGGCACGTCCAATGATAAACGTTATTTCCTTTTCCGGCTCACTCAATTCATTGTGAGTGTTTCGATTTTGCTGACATTGTGGCATTCGGATGTTTAGGTATCATCAGCATATCGCTCATACAAGTTGATCTATCTGAGGGTTACGAAACGTTTTTTCCAATGAAGTTCATGAATATCTCAGCTACTATGGATGTCAGTAGACTCTAAACGACTACACCACGAAACTCTTCCGAGGGTATTTAAGTAGGTGAAAACGTTACATCCCGTGTGCAATGAGTAAACGGTTACTAAGCAGCACCAGTGAGGATGTCAAAATTGGTCTGATGTAAAATCATATCCTTTTTTTAATATTAAGAAGCTCATCACATGGGATCTTAGTAAATATTGCTTTGGCATCAAAAAAACACATATGACTCCGTTTGAAACGTTGACAAAAGAATTTATCACGAGTGTACTGAGAGATATAATTTTCGTTCTGTACAGAGCAAGCAAAGCGTGCAATGAAACTTTTTTAAGTATTGTGCACCAGTTACGACTTGGATAGATATGAGTACCAATGCAAACGAACCGGCCCAACTGGAGACCGAACCCTGGGCCTTGCAGGGTGTACACAAACATATTAACAAAAAAATTCGAAACGCCAAAACAATTTATTTTCGAGATATCGCCTTGCATATATAGTTCAATTAGTCATTCATTTAACATCAGCCTAGGCCTTGTATTATTCTACTGACTAATCGAACTATATGTATTAATGCCTGAAACGATATATCGAAAACAAGTATATTAACCACTCTACCAACGGACAGTTGATAAACCCGTTTTTCATTTTGTTCGTAGAACAGACACCAGAACTCATTTTTACGAGCTAAATGCAGCCATTACACCTCGAACATCTCAGTATACATTCAGGTTTCGAATGTTTCCAATTGAGTCAAAACCTTGGAGGCTAGTGCTGAAAGTCGGGGATGAGACCCAAAAACACAACTGAGCTGATAACAGTACTATAGAAATGTGTGGAGCATTAAATGGATTTTCTATACCAACAGTTATCATTAATTGTTTTGATTCTCTGTTTTGTTCTCGTCTACTAACCAAAACTTTTATCCTGATCAGATTGAAAAGACCGGCATCAACGATATACTTATTGGGGNATGCCAGGATAGGGTACCAAGAGCCAAGTGTACACTCGTCTAAAATAGTTTCTTATACATTTGAATTGATTTTTGTAGTATGTACTGTCTAATATCCCCAGTGTTTCACGATGAATCCCGAAATTTTCCATCGTTTTCCTTATGTTGAATATGAAGCACAGATTAAGATTTTTCATTGCCTTCTTTGTGAAATGCAACCCCCTTCTGTTAACAGAAGCGAAAACGTTTTAGTCATTCATCTAGAGAAGCTAAGAATGAAATTAACTTTTCATTCCTCTAGTAGAATGAACAAATATTAAGCAATTATCAGGAAGGGGGATGCACCCAATCAAAGTGTTGCCACAAGACACAAGAAAATGGAAAACTTAGGTGTTTTTGTTATTTTAGCGGACAAGCTCGTTTTCGATAAATTCTCCGGGCTAATACAGTTATATAGACAAATTTAAATTAAAGTGCGCTTTAATGTCTATGTGTGATTCGTTGTTTGTGATTGTTTTTGGTGTGTGGTTGCGAAAGAGTGAGTGGGGAGGATGTGTTCGTAACACGATTGGGAAAACGATTAAGATGTGGACGTATCATCACGTGTTAGGGTCGCCGAGTCACGGGAAAGGTCATCTCGATCTCGGGGGTATGTGTCACGTTGTGGTCAAGGCAGTNGTCACGTTGTGGACAAGGCAGTCTGAGTGATTGTACGAATCGATTTTAAGAACAAAGCGATGGGTTTAATATTCGAATGGCCATGGCTTCCGCTGTTGCGGGATGACGTTGAGGACGTTGACGGGCTGCTTTCAAAGGGTATGGTGGCACCCTGTAGATGATTCAAAATGCGTCATTGTCAACCTGATGCCCGGTATCCACAAGATGGGCTACGATTGCACTTGAAATCGTTTTTCTTATGCCTAAACGCAACCAGACCGGTTTGTGTTCCTTGATTCTTTGGGACAGTTGACTGGTTGTGCTGCCTACATATCTTGACGAACATGAGCAAAGAAAAGAATAGGTGATCCTGGATGAGGCAATTGACTGATAATTTGCCTTTAAGGTTCACGGACACATCCACATCCTAATCGTTCTCTCAACCGTATTATGAACACATCCTCCCCACCCACCCTTTCCCGACCACACACCAAAAACAATCACAAACAACTAATCACACATAGACATTAAAGCGCATTTTAATTTAAATTTGTCTATATAACTGTATTAGCCCGGAGAAGTCATCGAAAACGAGCTTGTTCGCTAAAACCGTTGTGTTTTCTCTCTATGCCGAAACCCGAATTTTCCATAGTTTTTGTTGTTATCGTTGGTGGTGGTGGTTGTGCTGCTGCTGCTGCTGCTGCTGCTGCTGCTGACGGCGGTGGTGTTGGTGGTGTTGGTGGGATTCTAGCACAAAACCGCGCACACCACCTTGCCAGTGAGTCCCAACAAATTACTCCACTACACCCTCTTTAATCCCTTGTATTACTTGCTAATCAACAGCTTCAGTTCAACTCTGGTGGCGTGAGTACGGAACAGGAAATCATCAGTGGCATTGAGTGGTCCCGAAATCAAAGTTTGTTGAGACATAACAACATTGCCTCGGAACCGACTGGTGTAAGCACACCAACCGATGAGTACAACCCATTCCAATTTTTGTCGACCACGGGTACTACGCTCAGTAGGCAAGGGGATCCATTTGTTTGGTTTGCCCCCGGATCATCCGGATCGGACCAACGAACATGTAAATTGCCGTCCGTTTCGTGTAATCAGCAGTCGCTTACTTTTGAGGTTGAGCGCCCACCAAGTCTCATCCGTGGGACCGGGGAACCACATCGAGTCACACTGGGCGTACTGGAGTTTCGACCTAGTCTGGAATATATAACGATACCGAAACTGCTTCCCAGAGCATTTTTACGGGCACGAATGCACAACACATCGGAATTCGCCATTCTCGAAGGCTCGGCGAGTGTTTACATTGACAACTGTTTTAACGGAAAGGTAATTTACTTTAAGAGGATTTTATGAACGAAGTGTCGTTTTTGTTTCAATATTTTAATAGCAAATAGAATGATTTACAACGTACATATCTGCTTAAATAAATATTGGTGAAGTTGTTACTGCCAAAGCGAATTATTTGTGATTCTTGAGTCACCTATGTGAGGTTGACGTATCACCATTTGATACTTAACTAAAGATCAATCAAAAATACTATACCTTACGGAGTGCTTGTGCTAGAATGACTATAAATGTGGTGGCATTTTTAGTTCAGTAAACGGAATATAAAACAAAGTAAGCCGTCAGAATCTCGGGCACCGAAATACAAGAAGGAGAAGTCCCGAGGAGGTGGTTCGTAGTTCACAAGTAGAAGTCAAGTCGATCAAATAGTATTGAGTACAAACAGATATCATTGGCTGGAAGCATACTATCCAATCACCTTGTTGTTATGGTACTCTTGATTGTGTCTGATTGTGATCTGATTGGATTAGGTTGCTGGCTAACTATTGGTCAATGGAAAATTGTAACATGACACCACTTGATTACAGTTTTCGAACTGTTTTATTTAGCCCAATTACCACACGTTTAGAAGCCAAGCGACAGTTTTGGAGAATAAACTATTTGTGTAATTAGATGACAATCAGCCAGGACGTGGGAGGAGCCAGAGAGAAAGAAAAGTCATTGTCTGCAGTGTATGCCAAATTAAAACGGATACTTAAATAAATGAGGCCTAACCATTACAAGAATATCTTGTATGGATTCATATCCTTTGAATAAATGTGTCTCCAATAATATGTTATAAACAAATTTGTGCGATTGAACGCAAAACACTGGTTACTACGTAACAACCTAAAATTGGATTCAAAACGTGATGATAGCAAAGCCTAGGACAGGAATCCACAATGGTTTATTACATGCTTCAGTGAACCCGAAAATCAAGATTTCTCCCGGGGAAAACCTCAAGCGCTGTAAATATACTTTCATTTGGTGGACTGACATTCAACGGTAAAGCAATGGTCGATCAATTTGTGTGGTATAAACCCAATTTTGAGAGACGGGTAATGAGATCAATTACCCATAGAAATTATTAAAATTTTCTAGGTAAATCAGAGGGGAAACTAGGTGATCATTTTTGCAGTCGTTCGTACATCAACGCACCGATGAATCTTTGCTCTCTGGCCCCAGAGACTGTAACGCAAACACGTCCACTTTTTCCGGCTCCTCACTAGTGCCGCGGTACGATTATAAACATCGATAGCAACCAATGGCCTTTTAGCCTCGTCCATTTGTCACTTGACTGTTTGAGCTCTTTTAAAGTCTGTCACAAATTTCTTCATGTGCAGCGGTAGTTAATGCAAATTGAGCTAAATCTATTGTGAATTTGAAAAATGACACTTTGTAATAGGTATGCCATTCTATGAAATCCCATTGATATACAAATCTTTGTGCACTTGCATTTGTCGGTAAGAATGTCAACTGCAAGTTTTTTTTCGATTCGTACTGCAGATTGATTATAATCCTAGGTATCCAATCAATCAACAACCTAAACTGAACGCTCCTGTTGATAGCTTGTAGTGAGAGTTGTCAGTACCATGTTTACGGTGCCGAGCAATTTTCTAGGTTGCCTTGATGTTTAAATTTGTCCCCACCAACATATTAAGTGTGAAGAAACGAGGAAACAAAGGCCCCCCATGGCCTTACCCATCTAGCCACCTCTCAGTATCATTTTCGTTGGAACTGTTCGTACTAAACGTTTTTACAAATGAACGAAATGACCGATCCAATCCCATCAGTGAATCTCTCACTTATTTACTCAAGTGTCATTCTTTAATCTGTTATCTTTTGTGTTTTCTCCGTCATCTAATCTAACCGTACAGGAGCGCGGCAATCGCATTCATGACTTTGCACGCTCCTATTGCGAATTCATATGTAAAAGGAAAAAGTAGATGCCATGCCTCTTCGGTGATGTCCCTTATGCCAACAATAAATCACCCAGGGGCACACTCAGTTCTCAGCTTTGTTGATCACGGGCTGCAGACAGGGCTAATCTTCTTGATGCATGTTTTCATAGTAAAAGCTTACTATTGCTGATTGAACAGGATGGGATACCTGAAAATAATATCAAAACCCCTTTAACAAAGGGGCTCGAATGCTTAAGAAAGTCACTTATCCTTTTTCGCAATATTCAAAATTACACACAGTCAATCTCCTGTCATATCACACCTCTCAGGAATTCGGAAAGTGGGTAAATTCCAGGAACTGCCACATAGCAGGATGAACGATAGTAGATGCTAATAAGCAGTATAAAAATCGGTTGACAGTTTTGTGACAAAATAAACCAGATCGATGAAAAGTAGGCTAATCCCGCTAGTTGTTCCCAATATATTTAATTATAAACTGTTTATTTATAACGACGTTTAGATCGACCGTTCTGCTTATCCTGTATGTCCAGTTCAGTTCAGTTTTTACAACCACTAACCATACACTTTCGTGCGCCGGTTTTGGTTGATGTTTTTTGTTGCCCCATTTGGATAAAAGAGCAGAATGAAGATTAGAATGTTGAAAGCAAATTCAAGCGGAAGATGGAGAATTCGTATATGGTGGTGTTAGGGGTATAATGAGTGGATGCACGAGCGCCACTATTTGTGACACTCACCCATATCACTCAGTGTCTCTAACCATCGGTGACCATCATCCCGAGGTCCCCAGCCAGGGAACCTAACGGGATTTATGTGACCTAGTCTCCTGGTTATGGTTTTCATACCCTCATGCCAGGTCTTAGTTTGATCACCCTTGATCTTTTTCCAACCGCTACCAGCCTTGGCAAACATCGCTCGCCGCGGTAACCCATCTGATAACATGCGTAACACATGCCCCAACCAACCTAATCTATGCAGATCGATCAGTTGCTCCAGTGGACGACGGCGAATGCCTAAAACTGTATGTATTGAAGAAATTTAAATCTTTCATGATGCCCTCAGCTTAAAAGATGTATTTTTACCAAAATCATAAATCGTCGTTTTTCTCGGCTCGCCGTTGGAAATCAACAAACGCGCTGTATAACTCCATTGTACGCTCCAATAATTGACCCGAAATCCAAGCATTAGCCAAGGAAAAGAGCTTCAATCGAAACGATAACTTCTCTGCCTCTCTGACTGAGATAACTTCCGGCGCATTCACTGCCTCACATTCATCTTCTTTGCGATGCATAGCTTGATTGGAAACGAACTCATCTAATGACTAAAAACAGATCTGATACAAAAAATTTAAACAACCCACTTCTTCATCATCAAATTCCAAACAGCCGATCTCTTCTTCAAAAAGACAGTCATCAATAGACACATAATGAGTAAAGTCCTCGATCAGATCGCATTTATCCTCTGGTGGCTGCATCAATGTGGATCTGAACCCTGCTTTCATGAAAGCGTTGATCAGTAAATGCGGGTGCTCAGACACCCAGGGTTTCTTGACCAGATGCATGACCATGAGGATGTCCACCTCGACTTTCGTGATTCATTTCTCATCTTCGATCGAAGACAAAACATATTCCAGTAAATGTTTCCGAAACGAACATTTGAAAGACCGAATAATTCCCTGATCCATTGATTGTAACATCGAAGAACAGTTCGGAGGCAGCCGTACGTTGGAAAATACTGCGGCTTGGTTATGGCAAGGGGCATTGTCCATAAATAATAAAATAGATCGCCTTTGAGAAACCATTTCGTGGTTGAAATCGGACAGCCAACTGTGAAATAACATAGAAGTCATCCATGCATTCTTTGAAGAATTGTAACTGCATGGAAGGCTTTTTCCATCTATACCTCGGAGGCACTTTGGAATTTGAAACTTTCCAATCTTCAACGGTGAGAACTTTTCTCCAGTCATGCTCCCACAAAGCAGTAAAGTGACTCTCCCTTTCGATTCCTTGAACCCAGAAACCGTCTTTCCTTTCATACTCAATGTTCTTTCTGGGAGCTGCCTGTAATACAAAGCTGTTTCATCTACATTGAATATATCACATTCAGTGTATCCTTGTAGCAACTGCGGTAACCCCGCTCGAAACTCTTCCACTGCATCACGTGGTACCGCTAAACTTTCCCCATAGCCCTATAAAGTAAGGCATATAAGTTGCTTGTCTCTTACTTTATACGATTTAATACCATATCTGTCCAATCAAGAGCGAAATCAACCTTTGGAGGCCTTGAAGTCACAATGATGCAATCTTTGGGCTAGCTGGATTGCCTTCTTGCGTACGATGCTCCTCACTATTGGGAACTCTCTGTGCTTTTCCCTCATAGCGGTAAACCAAGCCAAAGTTGCCCCATTTAGTGCCTTGAACTTTTCGTTGGTTTTCAGGTGGCATCTTTTCTCAGATGCTCTAGCGTTCAAAAATTCCCCGATAGTCGTTGGATGAGATAAAACATTGTAGACAGTTTTTCGTGAAATTCCAAGTGATCTGGCTACGGAGCTCTGAGTTGCACCTGGCCGTTTCAGCATTTCGAACACATTCTGCTTCTCTCTGATCGATAGGCGCTGACACATTTTGACGTCAAATGACACTGTCTCTGATCACTTGCATCGATGTAACTTCCTCGAAAGGAATATCCAATCAGTGAACAGTGCCATGAACGCATCACACAAGGTACAACGCCATTGGTTGAGTGCGACATTTCAGGATGGATGGTCGATGGTCGTCCCGAACATCGGTCATCGACGAAGGGAATATGTATCAGGAACTGCAACATTCAG